TTATAATCCTATGAACCATCACCATATGTGCAGCCTGTTATTGACTAAAATGTCCTTATGTGACTTGTGACTGTGTATACACTTAAAGTCATGGCAAGTTAAGAATACATATACTTGATATTTACAGGAAAATGAATTCTAAAGGACTATAAAATAGAGCATGGCATCCCATATCAGATGTCCTCGTGTAAAATGTTTCAAATTTCATTAACTCCTGTAAAAGTGTACATATGTCCCTTGGCCACCACTAATGTAATCTTGGACAGAAAACAGAATATTCATGAATTCAAGATAATGTAAGTAGTTGGCAAGAAAAGCACATTGGTGTGAAGAGATAAGTCTCCAACACAGAAGTCCAAATAATGATGTACTATGCTCCTCCTCCTCCATAAGATGGGTGTTTAATTCCCTGTTCCTGGAGTAAGGGCTGTGCTTTGTGATTTGGTTCTGAAGCTCAGAGTACACTAAGAGTGTGGAGAACACAAGGAACTGAGTACAACTATCTTGGCCAGGTGGTCCAGGTTAATACTGGAGGGTTGTGTTTAGAGCAGCTACTCTTACTCTTGATATGACATATGACATGTTCTCATTGAAAGGTGGTGATGTCACACTCACCATTTTTGTTTAGCCGATTTTTTTTTTTTTGGAGACAGGGTCTCTCTGCATAGTCCTGACTGGCCTGGCCTGGAATTCACAGAGACCTTCCTGCTTCTGACTTCAGAGTGTTGGCCTTAAAGAGGTGCATTTGCCATGGCACTGTGCTATATGGAAACAGATTAAGCCAATGTAGTAGTGTTCTACTGCTGTGACAAGACACCATGACCTTGTCAACTCTTTTTTTTTTTTTTTCCCCGCATTTATTTGGGGCTGGCTTACAGTTTCAGAGGTTTAGTCCATTAACATCATGGCTGGGAGCATGACATCATGCAGACAGACATTATACTGGAAAAACAGCTGAGAGTTCTATATCTAGATCTGCAGGCATAAGGAAGGGAGAGCCATTGGGCCTGGCTTGGGCTTTTGAAACCTCAAAATCACCTCCAGTGACACACTTTTTCCAGCAAGGATACACCTCCTAACCCTTTCAAATACTGTCACTCCCTAAACATTTAAGTATATAAGCCTATGAGGGCCAATCTTATAAAAGACACCACAGAGAGACAGTCTAGTAGGCCTGATCAGTATTTCTCAAAACTGCCAGTTTAGGGGAAAACAAATCCCAGAGAAACTGCTGAAAATCTTCAAGAAAGGGTGAGGTGATACTAAGTCACACTAGAAAACATGGCAGGAGAGTTACTAGAAGACAACTACAAAATCTGAATGGTGTGTGTTAAATTCCGTTGGTTCCTTGATTGTGACAAATGTCAACAAGAGGGGACCTGTGAGGAACTCTACTTATCTGTAACTTTTCTATAGATCTAAATTTGCTTTAAAGAAGAAAGGTTATTTACATTCAAAAGATTAACATCCTGCTATGCTGACGTAACAGAGTTCCTATGTATCAATCAATACATCTCCTTTTCCTTCATGCTCACACACATCTATTCGCCAAGCCATATGGCAGGAGTAACTTTCTTGAAACAAGACTATTCCATCTTTAAAGCCAAATGTAGTCAGACCTATTTTTGGAGTCTTAGATTTCTCAGGAATAGTTGGGTCATGCCCTCAGTAATGTGTCACAAATGCTTAAAAGATAACATCCAAAAACCCAAAGTTCTCAGCGGCTTGAAAAGATGTGACATCCTTCAGCTTCCTGTGCAATATGCGAACACTGCATGTGGCTGTTATTCAGGAATGAGTGATAAGGCAGCACATTCATCTCTGAAAGTAACATCTTGTGTGTGTCAGACAACCCACAGCAGCATTCGTACTGATCGGCTGTTCTCAGGAGGCGGGGGGAGGGATAGTGACACTGATATGTCACTATTCCACATTGGAAATGGGATTGCTTCCCTGATATGCCTCACCGTTCCATCAGAATGATAAGAAATGATGTTTCTGGGAAAACACAGCATTTTTTCCCCATAATGGTCTCAGTTATTTTATTTGAGGGAAGACAAAAAAGTTGGTATCAAAGAAGCTTACTTAAAAAAAGTACTTTAAAGTTCCTAGAATTGTTAGTAAGAATTGTATTTTGTTAACTTTGTAACTGCACAATTTGAAAAGTTGAGCTAATAATTTAATTAACCAAATAACAAATTGGCTGGAATTACTTCTCTACAAACTCACAGAGATCTGCCTGCCTCAGCCTCCTAGGATTAAAGTCATGGACCACCAACACCTGGCTACTTCTCTACTTTTAAAGTAAAGAGTGCAAAGGGCATTAAATACATAAAGGCTTAAAATCAAGATTCACAGGTCACACGTTCTATACCTGTATTGATTTCCAGCATAAGAGGAACACATGCTTTCTGACAATAAGCATTTGCTGTGGAACTTTAGTGAACATAGATGAGAACCCTAACATTATTGAGGTGAGTGGAGTCTACAATGAATGTGGGTAGATCATTCTAATTTTAGTCATAAGTAGTCCACAAAATATGTACTTCCCATCATATAGAGTACTGTGTGTGTAAATAATGAAAACAGTCCCTTTGTCAGTTAAAGACACATCAATCATTAGGCTACTGGGCATTTATCAATCATCTCTTTCTATTCAACATAACTCTGCAAGGTATGGAAAATTCTTATTTAATAAGCCTGGGAACAGAGGACGCCAGAAGTGAGGGAACAGAATCAAGGTCCTTCAGCTTAAACAAGAGTCATTACTGACTCCCTGGCCACCTCCAATGCCTCAACTCTTTCCTGCATATGTTCCAGCTTTGTTTTTAATGTATTTTACATGTTTTTAAATTTCATTATCATTTAATTACAATATTTCTCCCTTTCCTTTCCTCCCTCCAAGACCTTCCATATAGCCCTTCCAACTCTCCTTCAAATCCATGGCCTTAAAGAAACTATTATTGCATGCATATAACACACACACACACACACACACACACACACACACACACACACACACACTTAAAGATAATCTATTTAGTCCATAAAATGCTACTTGTATGCATGTTTTCAGGGCTGACTATTTGCACTAGTCAACCAGGTGACGTGCTTTCCTGGGGAAGACCGCTCCTCCTGCTCCTACCCTTCCTCGGTTGCTGGAAGTTCATGGTCTTTATCTTCCTTTAAGGCTTCTAAATTTCTAGGCCTAAATTTCTAATAGAGTTGGCTGGTGGATTTATGATGTTTGTTCTAGTGTTAAAATTCTTGCATGATCTGCATACAGAAAAACAGATTGCCAACTTACAATGTATTCGTCAAAATGAGGTAATTAGCACTACTGGTCTTTACTAAATTTTCTGATGATGGAGATCTATGTAGATTTTCATCCATTTCTCTCAAATCCTTTCAGTCTAATTTATTAGCCAGGACTAGTGAGTTTGCCATTTTCAATGTTCCTACAGAAGATGTAGTGTTCTCTATACAAACAATATATTTAACTCTTTGCCTTCTGTAGACTCTATAACTTGTTTTTAGATATTAATAATGCAGTGGATGCCATTTTGTGGATATGAAAGTAATCAAGACATTTATTTTAATTCACATTCTTAAAATACAATTTTAGACAAACAGTACTTATAAGCACATTTATAACATGGTAGCCATAAATATAAATGAAATGTATAATTATATATATTTCACACATTTTAGGCATTAAATTTTGAAAATACATAAACATGAATAGTTGAAAAGGATGTACCTTCACAAAAAGTGCTACAAGATGTTCACATTTATATCAATAATAAGGCATATTTCCTATGTAGATGCTTTATGAAAACTCTATAAAGACCTAGTTTAATCATTAACCTCACATGGTAATGTTAATTGTAAATGAATTACATTTTTTATCAGTACAAATGTTCCTTTAACTTTAAACAACACAGTACTCTTTATCAAGACCATACCACACCTATTAAATGAACATGCACAGCACATTAAAATTAAAATAATTCTTGTACTTTTCTGCACAGTGTTTAGTTTTCCTGATATTCTTTGTTAAAAAATATACTTAAAACTTTGGCACAGGATTAATACATTATAACTAATTAAAAGAAATGCCAACTTTTTCATGGCACAGAAATTCTCCTGTTATTATTTACCAAATCTCTTATAGTTCACTGACCAATGGCAGACCTGCCTAGTTTTATTTAGAATAAATAATGAATATTCAAGAAGGACAAGTCATATTTGGGTGTCTGCCTACACTCTAAGTGGAAAGTAGTGAAACTGAGTGAATTTTACCAGTTAAACACCACCAACTGTACTGCGGCCAACAAATCCCTAAACAAGTCTTATCAGCAATGATAAGTATCATCATGAGATGCTTTCATTAGGAGGCAGAGGAGGCGAAAGGAGATGCAGGTCTCCCAAACCAGGGACATGTGCAGTAAGGGAAACGAACCAACTGAGGCACATGTGGGAAAACCTCTTTGAAAACTTGTCCAAGCATTCCCAGAGGGGATGAGAAGGGGGACAAGAGGAGGGGCAGAGCCACCCTGCAGGAGCTTGGAGAGAGCCACATGGGTCTAAGCAAACCATGGTGCCCCCTTTAGGGCATTCTTGAATTAGTAAATAGTCAATGATGCTTATGAGAAGATTCAAATTTCCCCATCAGTTTGTCTAAATTGACAACGAAAAGTTTACCTTAACTGGAAGCTTCCTTTTGACCCCACTCCCAAACATTGCAGGAGCTGTTAAGGGAGTAACATGACAACCTGCTCGGAACCCCAAAAGCACCTCCACACTTGCTCTAGACTCAGACTGCAGAGTCTTGGTAACCAGCGGGAAGCCTTGCTTTTCTTTCTACGTTGTGTCTTCAGAGGCAGCAAAAGCACTCTGTGCCTCTTATAAGTTCAACAGCTTCACTTTTCTACCTATCTGAGGGGGAAGCACAGGTGGTCTGAATTCATAGTTTTTCCCTTTATTCAATTGTTAACATCAATGTTGACATAAATTCACTTTATTCTGAAGAATAAAACCATGAACATGATGTCATTTTATGATCCCTGCTTGCCTCAAGGCCTTCAAGGGCAAAATGACAAGGAACACCAAACAGGTCCAATGAAATAGGCAAACTCTTTTTCTTTTAAAGCTGTTAAGGTACACATAGACACAAAGACTACAAATCACAGAGTACTGAATTTTCAAGAGTGAAATCATACCAGAATCTGGATAAGTTGTCGCCAACATCGTATGACAATAAGTGGTCAGGAAGGTCGCTGACAGTGTCCTGCACTGCCAGCACATGTGGGGCCAAGGTGAAGGGCACGTCACTCAGGAGCTCAGCTGTTAGTGAGTTGTTTTCCAGCGTCTGGCCTGCCTCATTTCCTGTCTTGGGGCCTGCTACAGTCACACTGGATGTGTCTTCTTTGCCGGTCTAAAAATACATATATATTTAAAACATTTAGAACATATGAACTGTGAGGTTTGGTAATGGTAAATATGGTATCAGTACATCAAAAAGCCCGGGGAATGTGGAATATATAAATTTGAACATAAGTATTTACCCACTTGAGAGATAAATCCGTCCAAATCTCTCCAAGATTTAAAATTCATATAGTCTGGTCTTATTCAGAGTGGCCATCCACAGCTCCCATAAACAAAAATTCATTCTTGTTATTTCCCTGGTCCTGAGGTGTCTCCAGAGCCTGTCTCAGCTCTCACATACGCCTGGGGGTGCCTTCAGGCTCTGCTCCGTGCTCAGTTTTTGTGTGAAGTGTCATATCAGAGTTGCCCACTTTGGAACGCTCATGAGGCAAACTGCACAAGATCTCATTAGGTGTTCTGGTGTGTGCTCTCGTTTGTGGCTACTCCATTTACATTCTATCTTTAAGCAGATGCTAGCTAGCATCCTCAAATCAAGTGATCGATGCCTCTGCAGCCCTTGCCTGACACAGTGTACTGCTCTGTCGTGACATACACTTGAGGTGTGCACCATGAGTATGGGCTGGAACCCACAAGTTATTGCCCAAACTTTCAAATAAATATTGAGTACCTTGCTTGATTTCTTTTCAACTGTCCTATCTTATACACACTAGTTTATCAAAAGGCATGTACTAATTAGGATGTTCAGAGCAGCATCTGTCATATGGCCAAATCCCAGAACTACAAAAACCCATTAATACTTTGAGTGGACAGGAAGTAAGTATCTGTACATAGCAGTGAAAATGAATGGCTTGCTACTACAAGCAGCTGAAATGTGAGGCAAGTAATCTCAGAGAACAAAAATCTTTTTCTTATCTTTAACCTCATGCAGAATAATTCTCATCTTCACAAAGACCTACCAGGCCCCCCTTGAGCAGGTCTTGACTTGTTATCCCTAGATATCCTGCCCTGGCCAACTCTTCTCCAATTCTACTGTAGCCTGGCTCTTGTTATTCACTCCCAGGCTGTTTCTACTGAGATCGTTGCGTCTGCTCCTCTGTCCAGGAGACTGTCCTCTCACATCTGCACTGACCGCGCCTGTCTTGATCCATCTGTCACCATCCGAGAGAGGCCTTTTCTCACTCCTTACTTAAACTGAACACTACCCTCTCACCTCTATTCTGTATTCCCCGTCTCTCCCACTTCTGCCTTTGCCTCTGGCCCTTAGTGTCTGGTCATATGACTCAGTCTAATCATCAGCTCTTAGAAGCCGGTTTTCTCTCCCATGCTCACGGCTCTATCATCAGTACCCAGTGCTCAAGAATGTCCACTGCACTAAAGAAAGCAGAGAGCGAGCTTAGATTCTAATGATGACAGATGCTCACAGCTTCCTTGTCTAAGGAGAGCAATCTTACAGAGAAACAGTATTTCCATCAGACATTTTATTAAGTTGACAATACATGAAAGGATACATTCATTATCAATGAAGAAATCGGTAAATTCTCACAAACTGAATGGGAATGTGTAGCTAGCACTGTGATCAAGATACAGCATACATAGGATTCTTTTCTAGCCTCAGTATAGTCTCCCTCAGTCACCATCATGAATTCTAACAGTAATGAACGGATGGATCTGTGTTTGGATTTTCAACGAATGTCACTACTCAGGATGGAAGCTTTTGCTTTGGACTTCTTTCCATCAATATTATGTGCATAGGATGTATCTATACTGTTACGTATTGCATGAACACATTTTAGGAATTATTAGTGCAGAAGATGTATACTAACTGAGATCCCAGGAGTCTTCTGGTTGTTATTTTGACAGTGGGCATTGGGCATTGGGTACGGGGAAGGGTAACCAGTAAAGAAATCGAGAAGATAACTGGGAACAGACAGGCTGTCATGCTGATTAAGGTTGTTACAGCAAAGGTGAGATGACATGAATGAATTCTGGATAGAGTTTAGTATAAATTCAACAGGATTTGCTGGTGAAATGAGGTGGGGTAGGAACGAGAGTGTAGAAGTTCTTGGCCTGACAATGAGAAGGATGGAGTCAATCAGTTACTGGGACAGGGGGGTGCTGTGAACAGGTTTGGGCAGCAACACTGAGAGAGCGTGGTGGTGGCTTGAGATGTCTGAAAGCCATCAAGTAGAACTTTTAGTAGAAAGACATAGGATGTCAGTCTGCAGCCGCGAGGCCTGCTGAACAAAGTGGGGGGGGGGTGAAGGACAATATTCCTAGGTGCTATACTGTATATGGGCAGAGACAAGTTGGCTTTTAGAAAGGTGTATGGTACCCAGGGAAGCTTCTTTCCATGTTTGCTTTTATTACAAGATTGGAGAAATGGTTATAATGAGAAGAAAAAAATTAGTAATAATGAGGTTGGGGAAATAGTTATAATGAGAAAGATCAGTAGAAAAGGAAGTGTTCTCTTCCTAAGATGTCCAGGACAGTCTAGATGAAGGACCTTAAGAAACATTAGTTTAGGGAGTGACTTGGACTCAACAAATCTTTCAAGTCATGCCTATTAATAGTGGTCTTATAATATTGTTTAATAATTTCAGAACAATACTATTCTGCTTATCTATAAACATAAGATTATTTAATCCATATAACAATTTAAAAAATGGTACACAACACCAAAGAACTTTCTTAGTCTGCAATGAAAACCAATAAATAGACTATCCACTGTTATGAGAAAGCCTATTACATAGATACAGGAATGTGGGGCACAGGTCCTAACTTAACTCTAACCGGTCTTCTCAATGCCAAGTATACTAGGGTCAGTCAAATGCGTGGAAAGTAGTGAAGAATGACAGTCATTCCAGACATGTAAAGGGCTTCCCTATGTGCTGGCTTGTGTGTGCACCATCAAACCCTCAAGATCACATATGTGCCAGGGCTTAGGTTACCCCAAATCAAGATAGTAGAATAGGCACGAGCACACGTTCTAGCTCAGACTATTGGGGTAGAAAGCCTAGAACAATAAGCAAATGGTCTGGGATAATCTAACTTCTCCTTTTCTTTAAGCCGGGATATCAGGTCAAGAACAGGCCCTTTCCTTTTCCGTTTTATTTCTTCCTTGTTTCTCAATCTCAGTAGAAAGTCCTTACCAGATTAGTTCATTTTCTACTCTAGCCAATCTCCCTCTCTACCTTCCTCCTTCCCTTCTTTTGTCCTTTCTGTTACACATTATATAGCCCTGGCTGTTCTAGAACTCACTAAGTAGACCAAGTTGCCCTCAAACTTACAGAGATGCTCCTGCCTCTGCCCCGCAAGTGCTGGGATTAAAGGCTTTTGTTACCACACCTGACCAACCTCTTTTTGGCCTGTGAACAGAGCACTATCGTTTCATTAATCAAACTGTCCCTTCCCAAGGGCATTCTTGAAGTCTCACCTCCTCCACTAAGGAGGTGGCGTACGATTCCTTAACATTCTCCTTTCTAAACACAGAACTTTGAAGGCTTGAGTCTAGCACCAGGATTTATTCCCTTTTGTGCTTTTGCCAACCCTCTTCCATTTCCTTTAAAGATCATTCTTGTCTGGCAAAAACCAGCTTCCTAAAGGGCAAGAATATACCAGATCACATCTGGTACTATAAAGAACCTGGTATATGTGACATCTTGTTCCAGTTGTCCTGATAGAGCAGCCATCTGGGCCCTAGCCCTCCAGTCTGTACAGTGAGTGATAAGAGGCGAAATGACCGAAAACAGTGGGGATGACAAGGAGAGCAACCATCATGGACTGACCATGTACCAGGAGCCATGCGCTACACAGCAGCTCTTAAGGCATTCACTCACTGATGTTCTGTCATGGTCCTACAGGGTATGTGCTATGTGAAAGGTAAGGCGACAGTGAGACAGGATGTTTAAGGAAGATGCCTCAATACACATAGACTGTCAGTAGTGAACTGGAGAATCAAGCCAATGGTCGCTTAATAATCTGTTCTATGAACCTATACATTTCAGACATGCTCTGCAGAGACGCAACTGTGTAGCGACAGTTCATGACATAATATCAGAAAGGAAAAGACAATAGTCACTAAGTAGCGTATCTTGGCTTAACTTAGAAGGAAAAAAAGATTCTAATGTCTTTTTCTGTTAGGAAGAAAGGACAGAGAAAACATCCTGCAGACAGACTAAAAAGAGATGGAAAAGCAACTGTAACTTAAGATAAATTCACTCCATGGGAACAAGTCTACCAGCAGTCTGGCTAAGCCATGGGAAAACCATGGACAGTGAAAGACTCCGAGCTGATGACGGCTGTGGCAGATAGGAAAGTGTGTGAGAACGCTGTACCACACTATCCCTTCTGTCTTTGCACAAGTCTGAAATTTTTCCTACATCCAAGTTCTGAAAGTTTTATTGAGTTAAAAAATACCAGAAACAGTAATCTACCAAATGCCTTCTAAACCGATCTAAATTTCAGCTGTGCTGGATGGATGGCTCCATCCTCCATCTCTTAACAGTTGGCGTAGTACAACGTTACAGTCTCCAAGGAGGCTGCCTGCCCTCTTGGCAGCAGGGTGAGTGCCATGATGCAGCTGCTGTTGGCATGCTGAGAGCTGGAAGGAGAGAAATTATAAGGCAAAACAAGAATAAGTCGCAAAGAAAATGTGAGTCAAAATTCAAGGGCCCCATACCAGCTAAACCAGATCACTAAGCCTCTAGCTTGGCAGCTTGTGGAGGTGGGGGCTGAGGGCTGGAACAGGTGCACCCCTTCTCTGCAGAAAGCAACCCTCACTCAGACACGAGGCTTGTGATTTTTTTTTACATTTGCATAATGAAATGGATCTTTACTGGGAAGAATTAGTATGTTAACCACAATGGGGCAGAAGAAAAGAATCAATTAGCCTTTTGGTTAATAGCCAAAGTGCAGATGACGATTTCAAACATGATGTTCATACAGCAGACTCGCTGCTCTGTGAGGCGTCCTGCTCATAGAAAGGGCACTGGGTGTCATGGTTCTAGGTGCTCGGTTCCTTCATCCAGCTTCAACACTTCTTTTCCAAGG